TTTTGTTAAATAACAACATGGTGATGTTTTGTAAATGATTACATGTCTTATTTAGCACAGACTATGATCCTATCCGTGACATATGGATCTTAACAAAGATCCGCTATACATTAGTACCAGACATACTGTACAAGACTCCACACATGACTCCAGTGTGGAACCCCACTGCACCCCCTGGTGGATCAATGATCCATTGCAGCTGGCTTCACAATAATTAAATTTATTTATCACGGGGGCGGTATCAAGTCAGACTGGGGGCCGGCCGGCCATCACGGAACGTGCACGAACCGATCACGACCCTCGCATTTTAAACTGTCCAAAATAAGACGCTTCATCTGTAAGATGTAATCAGTCCATTAGCGAACACAGCAACATCCCGAAGGAATGGCAGAGAAGCTAAGATTTTGAATAAAACCATGTGTAGACTCTTAAACTTTTGTGATTTCTCAGTAGGAAACACTAATCAAATCAAATCAAATCAAGTTTTATTTATATAGCACATTTTTAAAACGATTCTTGGTCGAGCCAAAGTGCTGTACATGCAATAAAAACACTTTACTACAATAGCAAACAGAAGACAATAAATTACAACAGCAAAAATAAAAATCACACACAGGGAAATGTCAGGAGTCGTACTCCGCTCTGACTAGAAGGCCAGAGAGAAGAAGTGAGTCTTAAGTGTAGATTTAAGTGATTACAAATCACTAAATGTGCTTATGTCACACAGTGGAAATGTTTGTGCATTCTGAGTTGAGCCCTATACAAAACGTACTATACCTGTTCTGCACATTTGTGCTAATAATGTATTCCATACAATTAGATTGCCCTCACAACCATCTCGAGGTGTTCTCTTTCTGCAAAATAATAAAGACAAGGAACCGAAAGGTAGGATAATGATTACCTGGATGATAGTGTTTGCTGTTGGATATTTTTTGTATAGCAATTTATCTCACCTTGAAGGAATGCTGTTGTCCAAGTCACAATATTAAGCTATTTGTGTAAACATCCTGTAAATCCCTCTAGTCGGTCAGATGTCTTTTTCATGACTATTGTTTAAAATATATACAAACTATTTGAACAATACATATATTATAAGTACTTGTGAAAGTACAAAATTCAAATAACATGCAGATGTACAATGTATTTGTCTGCCTGCCACAGGGGGGGACGGAGCACCTTTATGACTGGCAGCCCTGCACCATTTGGTATGTTAATTTGCTTTTGTACTATTACATCTATGTGTGCTGTTAACATTTGTGGTAATTGTTGGCACGCCATTATCTTAGGTGGCATTTGTTAAAGAAAAATGCAAAAAGTTCTGCTGTCTGTAGCACCAGCTATACACAAGTTCTTTTAAATGTGCAAAGTCCACACTAAACGATAAATTGAAACTAGGTAGTTTATTTAATTAAAGCTGTGTCAATATTTGATTACACCAGAGACACAAGGTTCACGTTAGCTACTCTGGCGTTAAGTCCACAATAACTAAAGTATTAGTAAATAGCTGACATTAATCCCCAAACAACAACAGAAATGTAAAGGACCTAGGACAAAGAATTATGATTAGACATTAATCTACAGATAGTGCAAAGTAACAACAGTGACAATCAAGTGGTGAAAACGTAAACTACAACAAAGGGTAATATATCGGTACCCTATTATTGGGCAGATAAGATGGTAACGTAACAAACGCATCATGATATCATTTCCCCAAGGGGATCTATTGACTGTTTCTTATCTATCAAATGCTATTTTAGTGGGAATGCTGATACAGCATTCCAACTATATGTTCTTATACGGACAAAATTATTATTATTCCGCGGGAACTTTGCACCTCTTCTCCTCCTGCATTCAACATCGCAGAAACTCCGTTCAAACATGAAAACGTTCAGCTCGGTCGGGAATCGATGGCTATTACTTTTATCATTCATAATTTTCATAATTCCAGAGATACATCCCATAATTCATCACATTTTTAACCATTGAAGTCAATGGAGAAAATCTTCAGACTTGAACAATTTTCATGCGACTTCAACTGCTAACTGTTCATTCATACTTTCACTCAGAAACCTCATTCCAACTTTAAAATATTAAACATCTTTCTGACATTATTCGTGTAACACAACTTTTAAATCTGATTCTTACTTTTAGAGATATTAAACATTGTTCAGACCTTGGTAAAGAGGCTTTCTTCAGATTTTAACATTAACTAGAGTGCGTGATGTCACAGCTAGAGGGTAGGAAATCTTGAAATTTGCTTTCATATATTTTTTTAAAACTGCCATAATTCCCAAACCCTACATTCCTGAGACATCATTTTTCATGACAAACGTAGGAAAATATCTCGTAGCTTGAAAAATGACAAATAATTAAGCAAAAAATAATTAAACAAAATGCCTCTTGAGGGCATGAAGTGACAAAAACGTTCAACATGTCTCCATTAAAACCCATTGTAATTTCAGGCTGATATTTCCTCACAGCAGCAGCCGCACACCTTTAGTTAAACTGCCAAAAAGGCCACATTATTAACCCGAAAGTACACAAAAATTACACTTCAGATACTCAACTTCCTTGAAATGTCACAGATATCTGTTATGGTTCTTCCACAAAACTTTCACATGTAAGAGGTTTATCTCTCATTCAGAACAATGCAAACCTTTGATCTCTACAGAGCTCGTTAGCTCAACTATAAACACCTGTGTAATGGAACACGATGATGTCATCACTCCAACTGACAGCAGTCTCTCTCTCTCTCTCTCTCTCTCTCTCTCTCTCTCTCTCTCTCTCACTCACACACACACACACACACACACAATGTTCCATCGTTGCCATGGCGACAGACCACTCGCCATGAAACACAATGTCGCTGTAAGTCCAATGGACACGGTCCAATCGTCCCCCAATCTTCACTTGTAAATCACCAGTCCATGCCTTAAGAGCTCTACGCCAAATCTGAAATCTCACCATATGCCGTTTCCATGGAAACGCATCCCTCGCCATAAAACACGATGTCCCTTTAACTCCTATGAAAATGTTCAAAAAGTGCTCAAAATTCACATGTGTGCTAACAGTCCAGCCGTGAAGACATCTACGAGACAGTTTTGAGATTTCTTCAAATGCCGTTGCCATGGCAACACAATGCTCGCCATGAAACACGGTTTTCTCATAACTTCAGTGAAAATGCTTCAGGAATTGCATTCTCTAGTTTAGTGTTATTGTTCTTTCCCCAGTTAACTAAGCTATGCTGAAGTACCAGTAGATAACTTCTAAAGACCAGTACAGGGATCCTCAGCCACCATTGCCGTGGAAACGGAGCCGGTCCACTCTCCGCTACCTGCATAACCCTAATTTATTTCAGATACCAAACACACTTTTTCCGAAGATTGGTGTTACAAATATCAAAACAATATATGTGTGGATAACAAAATACATCCATTATAAACTAAACTGGAAACAGCAGTATAATTTATTGTAAACTTGACAGTTTTTTAACCCGCCTAGTGGTTAAAGCACGTTATTGCATTTTGTTGTTGAATATGTTATATTTGATGAAAACATAAAAATATTAAGAGTACATACTTTCATAGGGGGAAAGTAGAAGGTCAATGATAGAAATATAGAATAGAAAATATCAAGAAGATACTGTAAGTGTTCTCTACAATAAAACAGTTCAGTGCCGGATGTACAAAGATATTAATAGGAGGATGTGCAAAACAGACAAACTAATGAGGCTTTATTTAAACATTAAAGAATACTTTAGGTTAAGGTCTTCTTTTAAATAAGAAAAAAGCTTTGGGGGTATCAACAGATAAATATTAAGCCTGACAAAGTACTTAATGTTTAATATATTGCATAATTTGTTTTGGGACTTGACAATCAACTTTCCTGCAATGTTAACTATGTTGAATCACTTATTTTAACTGATATTATACATTTGAATTATACTCTTATAAGATGTATGTAGATAGAATAAGAAATGTGCAGAATATGACAGTTTAATGCTGGAGGTACACACATATTGATAGATGTCTTGTAATGCACTGTTGAGGAACCTGCGACCCAAGTTTTTCATCTCCGACCTTGTCAAGTATTGAACATTCAATTCAAATGGACCCGTTCGAATCATGTTTTGGATAGTCTGCCGTGGTTTCATTCCATTTCAAAGTGCTTTTTGACGCTCGGCGTAACCTTGGCGCACTGCCACTCCAACATCCAATCACAGAGCTTGAGGGTTAATCACGGGGTTTGTCAAGCAAAGCGGAGAGAATACTTAAATTGTGTAAAATTCTCTAAAGCAACTACTAAGAGCTGCTCCGACCCTCGGTCCTGACGGACTACAAAAGTCCGACATTATACAATCAAACAAATAAATAAACAAAAGGATAATTGTGTCTTATTGTTGAGTAAATAACAGTGTGAGGTTTAGAAAAGACTACAAAATTAGAAGTACGAGTTGAGAGTGAGAATGTGTTGGTATTTACACTGCATTATGCACATGTTACTAATAAAAGATTATGTTATTGTATGAACTCTATTTACAATGTATTCACATTAATAGTTCATAATCAACGTATAACAAAATGCAGTGACAAGAAAACAACCATTGTATAGCACTTGTTTGAGTAATAAGAGGCAGTTTAATATAAAGGCAAGGCAAGTTATTTTCATACACATCAGCAAGTCAAAGCGCTTTAAATAAACGAAAGTAACATACAAACACATTTTCACATTACTATGAACTGGTGCCTGCATGTTATGAAATGTATTCTCATGAATAAGGGGAACAGTAAGAAAAATAAGGCTGTTTTCGATGCATCAGTCGGGCGAAACAAGTGCATAGTTTCACATTGTTATCATATATAGTGTTTTATAATGTCTTTATTTTGTATGGCTTTAAGTGCGTTTTAAATGTGTTTTGTCATTATTATGGCGTGCGCCAGCATGTGGACGTGACACGTCGCTTGTGAAAGAGCACTCCAGTGCCTGTGTTGCTTGGCAGAAACCTTTACAGGTCTTCTTCCTCAGACTCAGGGCTAGTGTAGTCATTGTCATCTGACTCCTCAATGTCCTGCTGTAATTCAAGATCATGGCATTCTATAGCACTGTACGCATGTACAGCCTGTTTGTGTTGGCTTTTGAGGAAGTGCCACCTCCGACTGAGGACACTCTTGAGCCCATGTGCAGCATCTTCTGTCAGGTCACCGAAATCTGTAGAGGAATAATCACACAGCAAAAGGGCTCAATGTAAACAAACCATGACAATTGCAAATCTCTTTGCATTGTACAATGCTGCATATGTAAAAACACTACAAAATAGGTAAATCCATCTTAAACTGAAGGATGTTAGTATATATGGGGTGCCAAATGGGGCATGTTGATTAATGTTTGATATAGTGCTTAACAATTAGTCAATAGACAGAAAATAATCGATTATGATCTTGATAATGAATAGTTTCAGTCATTTACTATTTCACTTCGGCCTGACACAGTGAAAGATGTGTTCAACACATTGCATGTCTTACATAAGTAGAAGAGTGGATGAAAAGATTCAAAGATTCAAAATCTCAGACATACTGCTGGTTTTGATGCCCTCCAAAGTCTGTCCTCTGAGTGCTTCCACTTCTTGCACTTCCTTCAGAAGGAACATGATGTGCTGCGACATCTCTTTCACCAGGATGCTCTGCTTCTCCTCCAAACGTTTGACCAGCATTACCCGGTCAAAGACAGATCTTTTCAACCTGAAGGTGTTGCCTTTAGGTTGAGGAAAGGAATGGAGTAGTGGACAAGGAATATTTATTCATATATTCAGGGTTCATACACTTTTTCATCAATGATTTTCAATGACTTTTCCATGACCTTTACCTAATTATCCATGACCAAAGAAATGACTCTTTCTTTCATGTGACTAGCAAGCGCTGCCTCGCCCATATTCGAAATATCTAATATTTTACAACACAGTTTTCATTTGGCACGTCTTGGGTCAATTTAGAAGCCATACATTGTTGAAACTGCACTTCCCTGGCATCTTGGCAGCATTATACAAAGGGGTGTACTGCTATTTTAGAAGTGCCGGAGCGGCGTTCCGGTGCTCTCTGGCAGCACTACACCCCTGATTATATCAAATAGTAGGTACAGTAGGTCAATTACTAGCTCCTACAGGCTAAAGCCACTGTCGACTAGAGGGCGTGATTGTAAACATCTCTCACCAGCGAAATACCGCGACAGTTAAATGCCATTTTACATTTCATTACTACAGTATGTATTATCATTATAGTATTACTATTTCGGAGATTAGATCAAATATAAATTATATTTGATGCAACTTTAGTTATATTTCCATGACTTTTCCAAAACTTTGGGAAAAATATTGTTTTCCATAACTTTTCCAGGGCCTGGAATTTGCATTTTGAATTTCCATGACTTTTCCAGGTTTTCAATGACCGTAAGAACCCTGTATATTATATTATTACAGAATGATTTTTATTTCTGAGACACAAATCTTTGTAGCGATAGCATTGGTTCTCTATAATGTAAACAAATAACAAATATTATATATTTGCAAGTATCACTATTGCTTTTTCTGCCCCACGATAAACTGTCATATTTTGGTATAGACTAAAAAAACAACAAGCCAAACTAGCAATTATCCTACCATTTTCATGCCTCTCCCATGGTAGGATGTAGCCCGCTGTCAGACTGCAAGCCAACTCCTCGTCAATCTGTTCTTCCTGCACTCCGGTGTTGTATTGCACAACCTTTTCGCAAAGCTTCTTCTGCAGCTCTGTCATTCTCTTCCTCTTTCTTTGCCTTGCCCGGTTGCTATCTGCAAAGTGAAACGGAAACAAAACTGTGTCATGGTGCCAGAATGTTTTTGTTGTTTTTGAAGTGTAATTTCAATAACTACGCTTGACATTGATGTTCTCAATATCCACCCTCAGTCCTTCAGTACACCCTGGGGCGTAGACTCTCTCTAAATAGTTGCAAAAAAACAATTGGAGAAGAGATACAATCAGTGACAGTCTCAGTTTCAACATATAGCCAACTTATATTGTGTGTCTAAACTTACAGTAATTAACAGATGTATATATGGAAAACCTGTGGTATGTCTTGCCTGTGACCGCCCATTGCCTGACATCATACACCCACTGCTGTATGGTCTCCTGATCAAGGTTGTGCTCCTTTTTCAAGTCGCTGAAGCTGGCAGCTTCCACCTTTGCCCTCTCTGTGATCTTTACAAAAAAAAGAAAATGTCAGAGCAAAAGCGTCATGCAACACCATAATGCAAAGAACACCAGTTTTCAGTACAAGACCTTCAGAAGAACAGTTGAAACATTACATTACACCATCTGACTTGCAAGAGGAAGTGTGGATAAGGGAGAACATAATGCATATAGCTATGAGGTTACATTGCAGACATCCTTCATAAATATGTAGTGTCAGATGAGAAGACAATTGTAATTTTCCCTTACTTTGACATATCTGTGGGCTAACTTGATGAAGGTTGTCCCTCTTGGGCTAAAACTTGATGAAGGTTGTCCCTCTTCCTTCTGTTGAGTTCACTCTTCCTAAAAAAGACACAAATATATCCACAAGCAAAAAAGGAAGAATTCACATCAAAAAGGCAATAGTGAGTGAGAAACCTGATAGACATGACTAAACCCAATCGTTAAAAGGTGTTTGAACTGGTAATTACAGTAAAGTAATACACCAATAATGTTTTTAAGGAGGGAACAGGGAACCTTTTTTTTTAACTCTCTGTAAAATACTTATCAGGGCTGCCTTATCACAATTAGTGTAATACCAACCTGCTTTTGTCATGTATTTTGTGACAAGAGCTGCCCTGGAGAGAAAGCTGTTCACCTATAATGAATATTACAATTAATGTTCGGTCACCATTACATAACAATATTACCTACACATCATAGATCTTGAACTGGATGGTTTAAGAGAAAACTTGTGTACTGACTTCCTACAATATGCATGCATTTAGTGTTGCTGAACATATGAACTGCCTATCTTTCATTTGAACTCAGACATAAAGGATATGCTTTAAACTAATCAACAGGCTTGTCACTGAGATCTTCTTCTTCGAGTCCGTAGCAATCTCAGATGTCGTTCTGCCAGTATCGGGCACAGGCCACAGCTGATGGGGTAGGTTCTGCCAGGTCTTCTGGACTGCACCGTGGGGCATCGGCACATTCCAGTAGGTGGGACATTGTCTGCACTGATCCACAGCTGCACGTGTCTTCTGTGGTGTAGTTCCACACTTTCATCAGTGCTTTGCACCTCCCCTGTTCCACACGCAGTCTATTAAGTGACTTCCAGGTTGTCCAGCCAAGGTCGTGGCCACTAGCGAGGCTTTCCGTTGGTGTGATTCCTCTGTCCAGCCATTCAAGAGCTCGTGTGTCATGTCTTTGCCATTCATCTTCCCAGATGTTGGTCCTTGCTGCTTGTTTGGTTGTCTGGAGGGGCAGGACTGTCTGCACAAAACTGGCTCTGGATTGGAGCCTGCGTGGGGGTGCTACGTGGCCATGCAAGGGGTGTCTGATGTCTGTCTCCTGTGTTCTCCGTTCATCTTTAGCGATACCCAGTCGTCTGATGTGTGGGTGAGAGATGCCGGCTAGCGCATAGAGGCACGGGACAGGTGTTGTCTTAACGCATCCCGTGATGATGCGGCAGGTGTCATTCAAGGCTGTGTCGACCAGTTTGGTGTGACGTGATCGGCTCCAGCTTGAGCAGGCATACTCTGCTGTAGAGAAACACAGGGCCATGGCAGTTGCACGGATTGTTGGTGGATCTGCGCCCCACTTGGAGTTCACTAGTTTGCGCAGGATGTTGTTGCGGGTGTTGATCTTGGCTTTGGTGTTCTCCAGGTGTTTCTTGAAGGAGAGTGTCCTATCCAGTGTAACACCAAGATACATGGGATGCGTATGGTTGGACAGTTTGTGGCCATCCCAGGTGACGCTCTGTTCTTTTTTAGCATCTCGATTCCTCAGGTGGAAGATGCATAGTTGGGTTTTTGATGGGTTGGGTTTCAGGTGGTTGTTATTGTAGTAGCTTGACATTTCTTGGAGGGCACTTTCAAGGACAGGCTCAATCTTCTGGAGGTCTACTTGTTGGGTGGTGATGCAGAGGTCATCTGCGTAGATGAAACGCTGGCATTCTGGGGGTAATGGCTGGTCGTTTGTGTATATGTTGAACAGGAGGGGGGCCAGTACGCTACCTTGTGGGAGGCCGTTCTTTTGGGCTTTCCACTTGCTCCTCTGGTCATTTAACTGGACGTCACTGAGATGACACATACATATTTTTACTGCTTTCTATTAAGACTTCTTGTATCCATACAGTTACAATAATGCCATTAATAACATACCTGCTCTACTTCCTCTCCCACTGTGTTTCCTGCTCCGTCCTGACTTCTGCCACCCAATCTCACCTGCAACACAGCGCAAGTAGTGTTATGTAGCATTTCTTTAGAAGTTTTTGATATCCAATAAGGCATGCCATGCACAACATTTACAAATCCTTTGCATTAAAGATGTTATGTACCTCGCATTTTCCTGTATGGGCTTTAGCATGCATCACGCTAAGAGATGACCTCATTTCTGTCAACAGCAGAAGCTCTGGTAACCCCTCGGCTATTTTGTTAAGGTATGGCCAGTACCTAAGAAGCAGGAGCAGCATTTTGTGATTGACTGTTACAAAGATAAACTTTTAATTGACATGCAGGGATGCAAACTTGTCACCTTTCGGCGAAATTTGCCGTTTTGAATCCAAAATAGGTCGTTTGTGTGATTCATGTAGATCTGCAATAAACATATTTTTGGGGTATGGGGGGGGTCTGGGACCCGGAGTAATCTGCGGCCGCGAACTGTTATGTGCCATCATGACGTGCATGGTGTTATTTTTGTATATATTATAATGAGTATAATGATAATGTGTGCTGGAGTCTTCCTGTCTGTCGGCTGAACTCTGCTGCTCCGCGATGAGGTCTAGCTTCAGCAGCTACATTACCTACGGTGCGTTCGTTAATATTAACTGTGCGGTCCGGAGTCACTGTGGCACAGACTGGACCGCTGGTGAACAGCTGTTAGAACGGGCAGAGCTCCCTGTTGGAGCAGCAGAGCGTGATGTGAACTGAAAAGTTTTTCTGTCGCAATATTATTTAATGAATTGTTGAGCTAGCTAACTAGCATACATTGTCACTATCGGCTAACGTTAGCTTTAGCCTTTGTTTTCTAATAGTTTTTTCATAGGCTATAAACAGAGGTGGTATAGATCTTGTACTAGATTAAAAGTAGAAGTACTCAGATCTTGTACTTGAGTAAAAGTAGAAGTACTCAGATCTTGTACTTGAGTAAAAGTAGAAGTACTCAGGTCTTGTACTTGAGTAAAAGTAGAAGTACTCAGATCTTGTACTTGAGTAAAAGTAGAAGTACTCAGGTCTTGTACTTGAGTAAAAGTAGAAGTACTCAGATCTTGTACTTGAGTAAAAGTAGAAGTACTCAGGTCTTGTACTTGAGTAAAAGTAGAAGTACTCAGGTCTTGTACTTGAGTAAAAGTAGAAGTACTCAGGTCTTGTACTTGAGTAAAAGTAGAAGTACTCAGGTCTTGTACTTGAGTAAAAGTAGAAACTACCAGAGTGTAGGAAAAGAGCCGTTTTTTTTATTATCTGCAAAATAATCACCATGATAATGATTGACTTTATTGCCAGCAATATACTTTTTTCACAGAAAAATGTATAACTTGCTACATCTCTCAGCCAGCCAAACTACTACTCAAGCAGCATGCATTATGCCATCATCTATATCTGTATAGTTCAATGTTAATTGACAATAAATATTGTTGTTTTTTAACTGTACTTTCTTTATTTGATTGGCAGTCAGTTGATTACATGCAGACGTTGATACAGCAACATGCTACTTCAATATATATCACACTAATTCATAAAGCAAGCTAGACATTTTGATGTTCCGGACCTTTGCATGGGGACATTTTCTCTAACTGGACCTCATTGAATACCCCTGATCTACGGCAAATGTGCATTAAAGCAAGTTCCCGTAAAGGCGAGTGGATTTATGGCAGGCAGTGAACCAACGATAAAAAGAACGGCTCTCACCAAGTACGACTCGGTTCCCTTCGTTCGTACCAAAGAGCCGGTCAAAAGAATCAGATCGTTCGCGAACGTAACATCACTAGCAGCTAGTTTGAATGCCTTTGTATACTGCAGGGTAGCTTGTGAATTTACTCCAGGTGGAACTAAAGTCTGATTTAACACTTGATTATATTTCACATCATTCATCCACATCTGTAAAGTAACTAAAGGTATTAAATACCATTTTCCTCTGAACTGTAGAAGTACAAAGTAGCAAAACATTGAAATACTTAGGTAAAGTACAAGCATCTCAAAATTGTACCCAAGTATAGTACATAGTAATACATTTTCAAAATGCTCAACAGTGCTGCCAAAATTATAAACTGACTGCTCCACAATTAAAATAAATGCTTTTATATATTTCTATTAGATGTGACTCTTTGGCGTTTCTGTTATTATTAACACTGCTGCTTGAGTTGTTCTGACTGCTAAAATCCTCTGTTATTCCTCATTTTAAAGCCGATATTCCGTGGGGTGGGGGGCTCGGATCCTTGTCACCTTTTTCATACCTGATGAGTTTGCATCCCTGGACATGAAAACAATATCAATATCATCTAAAATGACTGCTGAGGCATAGGCCATTTTAAACATTGTTATGGATGTGCAATATGACAGTGTGGATTACCTGCATGTTACATCCATACAGAAGAAGTCAACATTTGCCTTCTTGGACATCTCTTTTTGGAGAAACATTGGGTAAGCGTATATTTCTCCACGGAAGTGACGGGACTCGGCCTGGGCTCGTTCTGAGCACACACGCAGACTCACAGCCAGGCTGCAGGTGTGTGTGTGTGCTCGGGCTGGATTTCGCTGTGTCTCGCAGATCCCCCGCAGCAAGCCAGCTTACACTGTCCGCTCCAGCAGCGAGCCGCGCAACGTCCCACCAACACGGCACCCAGACCCCACGCAGCATTCTCATGTTTGTCATTGCTGGTGTCATGTTCTGGTTGCCAACGCCATTGTAACACATAATCACTGATGTTCCGCTGTAACGGTGGTGGACTCATCAGAACAGAGTGGGCGAGCTGACCAATCAGAGCACACTGGGCTCACAGGGAGGGGGGGGCAGGAGCTCCAACAAGGCGTGTAGGACAGAGAGTGAATACACACACTATACAGAGATGCTGTATGAGAAACCAATGTGAGTTTGGAAAATTGCACAATATAAATCTATTCTAGTAGACCTCAACAATGGAATTATGATCAGTAGAAATGGCCATGACATGGGACCTTTAAGC